CCGTTGCCGGACACGGAAAAAAAAAAAAAAAAAAAAAAAAAAAAAAAAAAAAAAATCTGGAAGAATGTTCTAGAACATCTGGAAGTTGTTTCGGTGTGAGTTAGGGATCTAAGTTTTTCCAGGTGGCTACCCTTTTCTCCCAATATTATATCCTGAATTTGAATGTAGAAATATTTAAAGTTGCTTTTTTCAGTAATACTTCTCATATACTATAGAACTGAATTGCTGACCATATAAAATGCGTGGTTTTTCATTCATGAAACAGTTACAGAGCACATACTATGTGGTCAGCTACTAAGGATAAAATGTTGAATAGAAAAGTCTCTAACCCTGATGACTTAAAATTTTATTGCTTATAGTCTGGTGGGGGTATGTGCGTGTTTGCACTCATGTGCATGTGTTTGGTTTGACACCCTGCTTCATTTATATTTTCTCTTTAATCTTCTATTCTTATGAGAATTTTAAAATAAATGGAAAAATTGAAAGAACATTACAATGAGTATCTATAGTATCACTTATCCTCTCCCCTGCTCTCTCCCTGCTTCTTGCTCTATGTGGTGTGCTATGTGAAAGTAAGTTATAGACACTATACCTCACCTGTAAGTTCTTTAGCTTGCATCTCCGAAGATTTTAGTATCTTTTACCATCTGTTGTCCGAATAGATTATTTCAGAAAGTACAAAAGAGTCATTTCTCACATCTACTATTACCTCTGTATTTATTAGTAAGCATTTTTATTTTAGGTGGCTGGACAGTACGGGGATCTGAACCCATGACCTGGGTGTTATAAGGCTATGCTGTAACCAACTGAGCTAATCAGCCAGCCTTAGCAAGCATTTTTCTGATTTTAAAAAAAAAAGGCTTTTCTTCCCCGCCCGACCCCTTTTGACATCATTGTGGATCAGATTATTTTCATTTAATCACCATCACACTGTTTCTAATTTTTGTCTGTTTTTCTAGCTCTGTGAGGAAGGGGGAATCCTAACTATCTTTTTTTATCATTTTATCCCTAGAACCTAGTACAGTACTTACCACAGAGTGGTTTCCTGATAAATATGTGCTGAATGAATGAATGAATACTTTAGTCAGAGGGAGCTATTGAAGGATCTCAAGAGATGATATAATATGGAATGGTTTATGTATTAGAAAGATAATTCTGGCATCTTTATGGAGTAGGGTAACTTGAAGAAAGCTTTCATTGGGAGCCTTTATCAGTTAGGACTTGATTACAAATAATCCAACTCAAATTAACTTAAACAAAAAGGGGAATTTATTGGATCGTGGAATCCAGGGTTGAAAAATGAACAACATGAAGGGTACATCTGGGCTTTAGGAACAAATAAAAACAAGGATGCAAGTGCCACTAATATTTTCAGTCTTTGCTTCACTCTATTTTTATCAGTACAAGTTTTTCCACTCATGGAACACTTAAATGTGGTTTGGGCATAGGGTTTGTAAGAATTTGGTTGCTTCCTAGATATCCATGTGAATTGAGTTAGTACACTGTTGGAAGTATTGCAGTAGTTCAGGAAGAATTGTGTAGAGTGTTGAAACTAGATGCTGAGTGGAAGAGATGGATTTGAAAGAAAGTAAATAGTACAGTTGATAGAATTTGTCCAGGGAGGAGGAGAATTGGAGTAATTCTCTTTTCTATCTTGAGCAACTGCTGGCTTGGTGAATTTGTTAATCAAGTGAGGAAAATATAAGAAAGGTGTGCTTGGAACAGAAACATGATGAGTTTTTTTTTTGTCTTTTTTCGTGTCCGGCAACGGATTGCAACCCTCAGTGTCGCGCCCGTACCGGGACCGGCAACGGGATCGCAACCCTCGGTGTTGTGCCCGCACCTCGCTCAGCCAGTGAGCGGGAACCGGTCTGTATGTGGGATCTGAACCCTCGGCGGGAGCGCCACTGCGCTCCCAAGCAGTGCACTGTAGCAGTGCGCCACCGGGCCGGCCCAACATGATGAGTTTGATTTTAGAAATACTAACTTGGAATTCCCTAGAGGACGTACAGGAGCTAGTTAATATAGACAATTGAATCTTGGAAGAAAGTTCTAAGCTTAAAGTGCCTAGAAGTCAGTAGCAAAAGTAAAGGCTACAGAGGTGAGCAAAATAGCCCAATCTGGAATTCTGTAGAAAAGCTAATATTGAAGCCATGATCAGAGGAAGAGGAGTATAAAATAAATAGGCCACTTAGGTAAGAAGAAATAATAGTGTCAAAAAAACCAAAAGAATTTTATGGGACATGTCACATAAGGAGTGAAAAAAGTCAATTGTATTTGACCATTAGGAGATCATTCATGATGTTAATGACAGTAATTCCAATGGGAAGTTGAGAGCTGATAGCATTAAGCTCAAACGATTAGTGATTGGGAGATGAAGTAGAAACAAACTAGTGTAGACCTTTTTTCTCCAAGTTTGTGAAGGAAAGGTGACTGAGGGGCGTATAGGGCTGGGTTTTTTTGTTTTGGAATGGGAGAGGCTTTAGCGTATAGTTATGAACAGTAAATAGTTTTTAAAATTTATTCTAGGTTGGATAAATTTTATTTTTGTTTAAATATTTACCATTGTAAACACTAACAGTTATAAGTGCTTATTAGTGTTAGTGGGGAGAAAATGGGACTCTGAGACCAGAGACCTGTGTTGTAATCTCAGCTCCCCAGAATCACCATAACAATTATAATTAGCACTTATATGTTCCCTTCTAGGTGTTAGTCACTGTGTGTTAGTAGGCCCTTTATAAAAGGTATCACTAATCCTCACCACAAATCTCCAAGGTGAGTATTATACTGTTTTATGGGTAGACTCTGAGAGTTTACTTCTCAAGGTCACATATTTTCAGGATCATGCTATGATTTCAACGCAGATATGTCTGATTCTGAAGATGGTACCCTTTTATCTATATCACATTGCCCTCCTTTCTAACCTAGTTTCTGAAGTTTTGGGCCCCCATTTTCTTAACTGACAGGTAGGGATAGTTACATCTATTTCAAAGTGTTAAAGGAGTATTGTGGTAATATTTATCTATATTTTGTTTGAAAAGAAAAAATTTTTGGTTAAATACCAGACAGACCTTATAATTGTGGTCATCTGTAGCACTATCGTTTGTCTAAACAGTATTTTACTTTTTAAGGTGGTGGTATCATGGATACAGAAATGTCTGAAGATATAGACCACAACTTAACTCCTACCCTTGACAGCATGTCTTATGGAGTGCCGAATCAAACAGGATCTGAAAATTCATTGCTGGATGAAGATGATTATTTTTTGAACTCTGGGGATCTTGCAGGAATTCCGGTCGTTGGTAGTGACAATGAGGATGAACAGGATTTTAGTTCAAAGGACAATCTTGTTTCTTCAATTCATACTGATGATAGCTTGGAAGTAGAGAGAAGAGTCACACAGCATGAATCAGACAATGAAAATGAAATACAAATTCAAAATAAATTAAAAAAAGACTTTCCTAAACAGTTTGATCAGGTTTCTGTCTTTAAATCAATACGGAAAGATTTTAGTCTAGTAAGAGAAAACAGCAAAGAGACATTTTCTGGAAAGGAGAAAAATAGAGACCTAACTTATCATGAACGTGAAAAACGGTTGGATAAACCCCATAAAGATTTGGATTCAAGGTTGAAAAGCAGTTTTTTTGATAAAGCAGGTAATAATTGTTGGAATAGAACCATAAAACACAATAAAAAAACTACTGATAATAATATAGTTTTTATTTTTATGTTATGTGAAGTATGACCAGTTAAATTCATTGTAAACTTGTCATTTTTTTTTTTAAATCCTTGTTCTTTGCATAGTGACTGAATTTCTCCCAGTAACTTTTGGTAATGGTATAAATGGTTAAAAGATAGCTTTAAACCTCATTTCTTTCTCCAATATATATATATTGGTTGCAATATTTTGATGAGAAGGCAAGATACTCGAATCATCTGTTCATTTTCTTTGAACACTGGAACCCAAAGTTGTATTTAACCTCTTTGTGCTGTAAGCACTAATTCAAACTGCTGTCCCACCAATTAGTCCAAATTAGGGAGGTTTAAAAAATATATCTATATCTATATCTATAGATATATAACATTTCTATTTTATGTTTTAGAAGTTTCTTGAGGCACTTCTTGAGCTTCTTTGTCCATTGTACTCTATACTTTAGCTCTAGTTCCATTCTTGAATATATCATATATTTTCTTCTGTGCTTTCCTTTCCTTCTGCTGTTTCATTTGTCTGTATGTCATTTTCTCTGTTTGTATATATGTCTGTGAAAGTGCATCTTATGCAACAATGCCTAACTCATAAACCTGTTCTACTTTGTAGTCTTTCCTAACCGTTTTACATCAATAATGAATTGTTTTCTTGTCTATATTTCCACAATAGTTTGTTCATGCCTCATTATTTATTACACATTATTATAGTTCTGTATTTGTTTTGCTTTACCTACTAGTGTAGGAGTTTCTTTAGGGCCAGGTTGTACGTTATTCATCTTTGTGTTCTTGGGGCCTAACTTGGTACAATGAATATAGTAATCCTTCAGTGATGTTCAATAGATGTGAAAGAAAGCAAGTTTACTATACTAGTCCTTGCATTTCTTCTGACAATGCTGGGAAATATATGGTAGAAAGAACAAGACAGTATTATTAAAAAGAACAACTATTTTCAGTATCCATTATGTACAAGGCTGTGCAAGGGTATACTGTATTTTTCAATATATATGATTCAGTGTATATTTTCAGTATAGAGTCCTTTTTCTCAAGGAACATAATGTCTACTAGCAGAAGGGACAAGACAAGTAGTAGAAGTGTCAATGACCAATTGAATAGCATAAGATTTAATTTATAATTGCAAACAATGATGGAAGTTTGTCATAATGCAGTACAAGATTTCTTTCAAATAACTGTAACAATGTTTTAGGGATTCTTAGGAGAGAGATGAGTTTTAACTTAGTGACCAGGGAGGGTTTTATATAGGAGAGGTGAAATTTGGACTGAGCTGCATCTGGAAAATTATGTAAAGATTAGGACAGATAGAGGAGATTAGGAATGGAATAAGCAGAAATGAGGAAGAAAAAGCACAAGTAATTTTCAGAGCACAGTGAACAAAGTAACCAGTTTATTTAGATTTGAGCAAAGGAAAAAGTGTGAGGTAAAAAGTTAGGTGGGACTAGATTGTGCAGAACTTTCAACGAAACTGCCTTTTGGGTGTTTTTTGGGACCCAGTTCACTCTAATGAGCATCTTTGTTGGGAAAGAGAGGTGATTATCAAATGATAGCTTTTTAGGTCACTCTTTATGAAGATTTGTTATTCATATACATGTGTTTGTTTGTTTGTTTTTTCCTTTCAGTAGCTAATCAAGTTGAAGAAACATTACATACCCATTTACCACAAACCCCAGAAACAAACTTTAGGGTAAGTTTTCAGTGTGTATGTAGATTGCTGTAACTGTGGCAAGTGTCAAAGTTTTCTTTATGTCACTTTCTAAACTCTAACTAAATGTGTTAGGTAGAGCACTGATTTTTTTTTTTTTGCTTTTTTATTTGGGTGAGGACATCTTTGGAGGTATTCTAAAACTAAAAAGCCTCAACTCTTAGGTTCCTTATTTGTATTTGATATTTAGACCTATAGCACATTTACTTTTAGGCACAGGGACTCTAATGAATGCCCTTCATTTCCAATGAGCTTTTCTTTGGGTGTTAAACCTGAAGAGAAATAATTTTTAAATCTGAATATTTATTAATCCTTTATATTGTGTTTTAGGATTCCAGCTACCCATTTGCCAATAAAGAATCCATTGGTTCGGAACTGGGGAATTCCTTTGCATCAAATATTAGAATTAAAGAAGAACCTTTGGATGATGAGTATGACAAAGCAATGGCACCACAGCAGGGACTACTAGACAAAATTAAAGATGAACCTGACAATGCTCAAGTAAACATTTCACCTTTTTTTTCCCCCTTATTTTTGTTCCACACACTGAATTATTCATTTGAGAGAGGAAGTGCATAAGAAGTGAAGTAGTTTGTTGACAGGGTAAAAGGAGACTCTTAAAGAAGGTTGAGGCAATTTGAATTATCTTGTAAGGCTTTAACAAGAGTTATATGAAACTTTTCCTGAGTAGTAATTAAGGCTTTTAATCAACTTTTTTCCTTAATACCGCTGATTTTGCAATGCATTTCAGTGCAGAATTAAGGAAAGGGTGAGTCTTCCAGGATTTTAGATTGATACATAAAATATGGCTGAAAGTTTAAGGTAGCTTATGGGTTTGTGATGTGGTTGAGTTCATATTGGATAATAAGCCTTTGCAGTTACCGCTAATGAATTACAGGCCATGTATGGATTTAACTATTTTTCAGGAGGAGTTAATGGACAGATTATCTTTGGAAGGGTTCATTGATTGAAGAAGGAGTTCATTAGATTAGTGGGTAGAAGGTAAAGGAGGCTTTGATGAGTGGTACACGATTCCAAGTTTGAGATCTTTGAGATCTGTGAGTAATAAGGGTGTAAGAGTAGAGTTCTGCTATTTCACAGTTGCTCTGGAGGTAAAAGGTCCTGTAACTGTGAAGTCCTGAAGTCATCTAGGTTATTCATGCAGTTAATGATATTGCAAGTGGTTGGAATGGAAGAAAGAAGTTACGTTACATCAGATGCTGTAATCATTTTTGAAATGTAGGAAGGGGTCCAGTGGATGAATACACAATAGCAGCGATTGTTTGAGTGTAGTCTATGTTTTGTACAGATGGCATAAATTCAGAGGATGAGAAGGAAAGATAACATGAATTAGCTATTTCTCTCAGTGACATTGGATCAGGAGAAAAGCTTACCTTTATCTATCTTTATGTTAGTGGGTTTGAGAATGTGAGACTTCTGTGGAAAAGTTTTCTTTTAGCAGGATTTTTCAACCTCAGCATTACTGACATTTTGGACCAGATAATTCTTTGATAATTCTAAGTGGCTGTCCTGTGCATTGCAGGATGTTTAGCAACATTCTTGGCCTCTATTTACTAGATGCCAGTAGCAACCTCCCCCACTAATTTTTAACAACCAAAAATGTCTCCAGACATTGCCAAATGTCCTCTGGGGGTGCATAATCATCTGCTATTGCGAATCACTGCTTTAGAATAAGGAGATAGAAAAAGAAGAGGTGATTACAGTGGTAGGCGATTCATATGAGTCTGATTGATGCTCAGTTAAGCAAGAATTCCATGGTGCCCAGTGGAAGGTAGATGTATTAAGGTAGTGATGGTGAAGCTGTAGGAGTTGGTTGGATATGAATGTAGTTGCTACAAAGAAGACAGTAGAAGGAATATGAAAATATTTGGATAGAAGGTAAATTGAAAGCATGTTTATTGTAGCAGATAAAATGGAGATCTTGGATATGTGAATTTAGGGATAAATAGATGTCCTGACACCCAGGAAAAATCTATGTGGCAATATATACCTTAGAAGACTATAACCATGTCTGTATGCAGGGCAGATCTAGTGTTTCTTTACATGCTTCAGTCTGGGCATGGGAAATCTATAAGAAATCATAATGCAGGCAGGGTACCAAAGGCATCTCTTTCTTTTATCCATGACCCAGTAACACTTCCTTGGGACATAAAGGTACTTATAGCAAAGACCAAATACAGTGGGGATAGAAGGCATTGGGAAAGTTGTTAGCATTACTGTTTTCAAAACAATCAGAGATTCCAGTGGCTGTAGAATATAAATAGGATGGAATGGACAGCAACATCTACATTTTTGTGCACTAATTCAAAGTTGTAAAATGTGTTATAAAATGCCAAATATGAAGTTTCATCGTGATTATGGGGAAGAACTTCCCTAAAAGCTCACCCACCTGATTGATTGGATTCTTGAGAACCAAGCAGTAATGTGGGTTGGTTCTGGGCTAAGATCCAAAAGTATTCTTTACACTGACCCCACAATAAGGCACGTGAGTGGATAAAGCTACATTTTCCCCGAGCAGTCCTCTCTCTCGTTGCCACACCAATCCTGTAGGGCCAGATCTTTGGTAATTCTTCTAGAAACCCCCCAGGGGAGATTATGTTATATGTAATCCCTAGATACCTGGTTCTTTCCTTCTTTTTTCTTGTCTTTCCCCTTCCTTTTCTACCTCCCCACTCTCCTTTGTCCCACCGTTCTCCTCTCTCCCTACGTTACCTCCCTGCCTAACCCCCATTTTCCTATTCTTTTAGGTATTTCTGCCTTATGACCATTGGAAATCTATGTTGCTTGCTTTTCTTTCGTTTTTTGCTTGTTTTTTTTTTTTTTTTTTAAAGATGACCAGTTAGGGGATTTAACCCTTGACTTGGTGTTGTCAGCACCACGCTCTCCCAAGTGAGCGAACTGGCCATCCCTATATAGGGATCCGAACCTGTGGCCTTGGTGTTATCAGCACCACACTCTCCTGAGTGAGCCACGGGCCGGCCCTTATATTGCTTGCTTTTCAATACTGCGTAATGCTTTCTTACTCTTACTCATTTCCCATGGACTGGAAAGGGGAATTCCAATGTACTATTTTCTTAGTCTCTAAAACAGTGCTATTAACCTCACATAAAATACGGATAGCTTTTACAGTTGTGGTCAGCCTTTACTTTTGACCATCAATTAGTGTAACTTTCCCTGTGGTTCAGTAAACTCATAGCTTTAGCTCATGGCACCTTTTCAAAATCTCCCTTGGTTTTCTCAGTGCTTAACTGTGTAGTTTTGCTTTCAGCTCACCTCCTAATTCTCCTTTTTAAATAATTCATTTTGGCCTTAATTTCTTTACTTTCCTATGCATATCACTAAGGTGTTGAAATGTGCATATATATAAATTTAACAACTTCTACCCATTTGCTTTTAGTTATTTCTTCATTTATGATTTTCTGGGTTTATCAGTCATTGTTCTGCTGCCTTTGGTACTGGCGTAGCATCATTTGGCCTCCCAGTTTTGTTTCTTCATTCTAATCCCATTGCATGTTACTGTAACATTTTTTGTGGTATTTTTTACAGCTACAGGTGCTTTTACATGTACTCCTTCTAATGACCTATATAAGATGGCCAGAGTGTGAGGTATATTTGTGGATGAGGAAGCTTAGGTTCATAGAAATTAAGTTAGTTCCTCAAGGCCACATGGCCAGTAAGGAGCCAATCTGGGGTCATAATCAAAGTTTTGTTTTTATTAGTCTACCAATATTTTTGTAAGTAGAAGTTGTTTAATTTTTTTAAATGCCTAGAGATGGTTTTAAAATAAAAACTTGAAAGCCAGAGATCTCATTTTCCTTTTTCCCCTTTTCTGTAAGTTCTAAAAGCTAGACAGTCAATAAGTATTACATTAAAATCATGATTTTTTTCTTTTTTGCTTGCTCGTAATAATGGAGGTAGAGCTAATCTGTAATCTCTCATTGAAATAAATGGATTAAGATGGGAAAGCAAATTAACTAATTGTCACAATAGTGATTCATACAATCTTGGAAAGTAGAATGCAGTAATTCAAATGTTGGAGCTTTGTTTTAGCCATATCAAGTTTAATTTGGTTATAGAAACTGTTCGTCATTTCTAAAATACTGTCTTAAGATATTAATATGGTTTTTCCTTTGTAGTAAATGAAGGGAAGTTAAATGTATTGGTAAAGGATTTTTTGTTTTGTTTTTTTCCTTTTTGTCTTTTTTCGTGACCGGCAACGGATTGCAACCCTCAGTGTCGCGCCCGTACTGGACTGGGACCGGCAACGGGATCGCAACCCTTGGTGTTGTGCCTGCACCTCGCTCAGCCAGTGAGCGGCCGGTCTGTATGTGGGATCCAAACCCTCGGCGGGAGCGCCGCCGCGCTCCCAAGTGGCGCACTGTAGCAGTGCGCCACCGGGCCGGCCCTTTGTTTTGTTTTGACACCTAGGTTTTTCTGCTTCTGAAACCTCTTGGGTCATCAATTAGATATTTACTTCTCAAAAAACATTAATTATTTGTCAGTCATTGATTTGTTTGTGAAATATTTGTAAAATTAGTCATCATTGGGGGATACAAACATAAACCAAACATGATTCTGCCTTGAAGTCATTATGGTGTACATACACGGTACTTAAGACATATAATTATTTTTACTATATAACATAACTAATGTTTACTTGAGGATTAAGGAATGCCACAGAAGTTTGGAATAGCCATCACAGAGAATAAGAGAGCTGACTGGAGGTCATTAATGTATGCCAGTGAGTATTGATTATTTCTGGAGTTTTCTGAGATTAAAAGAATTTTTTCTTTTACTGGAAATTTGCTATAATATAGTATATAACATTGGAATGTCAGGATGAGTCAATATTGGAAAATCTTTTAATACATGTATTCCATCAACAGGTCAAGGAAGAGTGTCTGTATGGTCATCTTGTTGGATGCCAAAAGACATCTCATGTAATTCATTATGCGTTTCTTATAATAGATACTCTCTTGATAATGGTGAGGAAATATCTACTTCTGGTCAATAACAATTACTGAATCTGAAAGTAAAATGAAGTAAACTTTCTGTTAATAATTACTAAGAGTTGCTGGCAAGCCTCCAAAAAAAACCAAAAAACAAAAAAAACCCAACACAACAAAAAGTGCTAAAAGAATACAGATTACTAGGGTCAGCATTATTATTTAACTCTTGTTGGCTTTTTGGCTCAATATACATTAAATAAATTAGAAGAAAAAATAATGGAAAAGGAGATAAAATTATTACTGGCTGCTAAGTATCTATATTAGCACATTAATAGAATTCATGAAAGTTTAGTGGAGTACGTAGTCAAATTATAGTTGTGTTAAAAAATAGCGATATTTATATAAATTGATTTCACAGTTAGATGATATAATGAAAAAGATCTGTGGTTTTTAGCAGCAACTAAAAAGTGCTTAGGTCTGATAAAAGACAACTCGAATGAATGGAGAGACCATTTTTTGTAAAATGTAAAAAATATGGGCCGGCCCGGTGGCGCACTGCTATAGTGCGCTGCTTGGGAAGCGTGGTGGCGCTCC